AAAACTTTTCAATTTCCCGAATAATTTTGAACATGACCTGCCGTTACACTGGCATTCAGGGTTTCCAAATCACAAGCCAGATATTTTTCGCGTCCGGAAAGCCATACATTTCTCTGTGGTATTGAGAGAAGGCCATATAGGGTTCATAAAATTTGGCAGTGGATTTGAGCCATATTGTTATCTTTACAAGCTACATTGGTAAAAGCAGAGACATGACATTTTATGAACGGCCATTTTAGGGGTTTTTAAAAGTCCCACAATTAGAAACGTTTAAAAAGCCGAATTATACTCTTCTTTCGAGTGTTCATTTGAAGAAAGATGTAACTGTCTACTGAATGAGCAAAAGAATGAATATTTATATGCCAGCTTTCAGTGCAATGTAACTGAATTTTTTAGGACGTCGAAAATCAATTATAAATGTGCATGCTACATAAATAGTCATTTTCTTACAGAGTTTAGTTTTTGCATGCGGCTTAAAAGATGTTAGTTCGAAAGTGGGCATCCTGAGGTAAGTGAATTATTACAGAATTATGCTACACAATGAGTAGTTTTACAACCCTACTAAATTAATCTTTTCGGAACGAAAACGCATTGCGGAATTTCGGTTGACATTTCATGAGTTAGCCCACGTACTGTAGGTTCATAGAAGTGGGAATTGCTGAGAACCCCAAAAACAATCATACTCGCTTTTCAGATACTAAAGACACAATTATAGTCTTCTGAAATCTATCTCAAGAATTTTTTCTCTTTAGAAATTCTTCAGGGAAACAATTGCTCCTAATAGTGAAAAACTGCTTGTAAACGTATACTCTGTCTGAGTTGTTCTCCGACAAATGATTTTCTGTGTGTGGGAAAGGGTTTGGTGGTGACCATAAGGCCAAGTAGTACCATAACCTGACTGCTGCCACTTGAATACCGCCCGCATCCTTAGAGACTCGTGCTCGCATCCGTCCCAGTTGGAACCGTGAATAAGTACCCGACCTCCCGATATGTGAGGCGAACTTGCGCTAAATTTCGAGAAAGGCACCTTTTTCCCGTGTCCTAATTCTAGCCCTAACTTCACCGCTGAGCCACCTAGTGCTAACCTCAAAACTACTGAGCCTAACTCCCTCGGAATTTTGAGCATAGCCACCTGTAATTCGGGAGTAATTATTACCGCGCCCCCGGTCCCAGAGTCAGGTGACCAAACGACTCGGACAGTGTAGGGGAGAGAGTGAGGTCGATTCTGGGGAGGCCCTCCCCACGGAACTTAAGCACATCCCTACTCTAATAAATGTAACGCGCTTAAATCTATCCACAACGTCTTGGCTCAGAAGGCTGGCGACTGGGTGAGCAAATTGGTCCTCCTGGTCGGAACTGCGTGCCTATGTGGGATACCTGACCGGAGGACTGACAGTCTGCTCTGTGTTTCCCTCTTAATGAAACCCTCTCTACGGCACTTTCGCACACACGATTTCCAAGTCTCCCCGTTTAGGGGGACGTTGATCCATCGTTCACGGTCCGGGTTCTGCGTGAGGCACGCGTAGACGTGGTGCCCAGCTCTGTCAGGCACTGAGCCCAATTCAGCCCTCGGTCGCCCTGACTCCGTCTTGCCGGGCGGCCCAGATGCACGAGGACGGAGAGAGCTGCGCAGGTGCTGTGCAAATCCGCTATCGCCATAGCTCAGGCACAAGTCACCTACTGAACATGGTGTACGTAGTCGCATGCGACGGCCGAACTGTCATGTCTTTCGATCTCAGTTGTTGCTACACTAACTTGCGGCGACAGTTAAAGGTGAAAAGTTATAACTGCGGAAGAGCAGCTTGTGGGGTAGCAGAATAAACACAAGCTCATCCCAGCACCGTGTCGATGCCTGCCTGTATGGAGCCGAAAAAGATAGCAAGCGATGTAGACCACATGGAGAAGAAAATGACAAAAAGCATGTCAGCACGGCTGCTGTCTATAAACAGCAAAGAAAAGCAAATCAGCAAGGAACAATATGTATGCTTCGGTGGAGTGGCAAAAGGCGGTTTCTTAACATTCAAGAGGTTACCGCACTTACACCCACCTTTACGCTCGAAAGAGAAGTTAACAACATACTCCCATTGCTTGATGTCCTTGTACAACAAAAAACTGACGGGACATTCCAGCCATCAGTATACCGCAAAGAAACTTACGCGGAAGTTATCCTACATTACGACAGCAACCATCCCATGGTTCGCAAACGGAGTGCTGTTAACACCCTACGTAATCGAGCAAAGACACACTGCTCTGAGCACGAAGGGTACAAAGAAGAACTCAGTTATCTGCTCTACCTATTTTTCCAAAACGGCTAGCCTAGAGGTTTTGTACGCCGATGCATGAAACAGCAGGAATCAAAAGAAAGAGAGAAGGAACTAGATTGTTCCGATCAGACGCCAAAACCAAAACATTGGCGAACGCTTCCCTACATTAAAAATGTGCCTGAACTAGTTGAAAGACACCTGTGGAAGCACCAAATATAAGTGGCTCACAAACCGACTACCACGCTACGCAATCAGCTTGTATACCCTAAGGATAGGGTTGGCTATTTGGATAAAAAAGAAGTAGTCTATAAGATACCATGTAGCACTTGTAATGCAATGTATTTTGGTCAAACCGGAAAATCGCCCATACACGCCTACATGAACACCAATTGGCAGTGAAGAGGCGGGACCACTTATCCCAAGTCACCGTGCAAATTCGCTTGGGAAAAGACACGCAAGTTTTTCACAGTTGGGTCAATATGAATTATTCAAAATGTGCCAAAATACCTATGAAAACACGCATTGTCGGCTCCTGCCCGCATAAGAAAGGCCGAGAATTCCTAGAGACCATTCACTCCGATGATTCATGCGTCAATCGACGCATCGATCTTGACGCCATGTACACAAATCTCAAAGAAAAATGAAAAAGGTAATAGCCAGTCAAGACTTGACATCAGCCCACAGCATTAACCCATCCTCGGCCCTGACAGAGCTATATCGATTTTTTGGACATGTTTAAATTTTGACTGTGTCTTCACACTTAATACACGTCTGGGGATGAGCTGGGGAACCAGACTCGAACGTTTACGAAATAAAGTTTGTTCATTTTCCCAAAGGACTCATTTTTCTTCGAATAAATATATGTATGGTAAGTTAGTATATTTAAGTAAACGGGTGTTCACCGACAGGCACATTAATGAAGCCGGTTTCGCCACCCAACAAATGCAACGCCATACAGGGTCAAACAGAATGAAGTTCAAGAAAATGATTGTTCTCTTAACAGCATGTCGTTGATACGGCGCGATAAACTATGCTAGATTGGCAGAACGTGCTGGGATTGGACACCAGATATCCACAACCAAGTCCTACTTAGTTCTATTGAAGTATTTCACTTAAACCGATGGAGGAATTTATTTAAAAATCTAGTCCTGATCTCTCATAGGAAGCTTCACTGTTTTGCCTTACACACAGACACGAACAAGTGTACGATGGAAGCCCACGTGCTAAATTATCGGTAGTAATCACAATTGGTCACGGTATATTGGAACTCCTTACTGGGTTCTTGCACTGTTTTCACACTAGTCTGGTCTTCTGGGAGGTTTTGCTCAAATCTGCACTAACTAATTGATGAGATCGCTCTCCTCTGGAAACTGCAGGCCTGTGTGACAATTTAATCCTGCTTCGTCACTTTGCGGGCAAAAAAGCACTGCGAGGGCTCATTTTATTGCTCTGCACGGCTCAGCTGATTCAGCGGACTCGTCCTCAAGTGAGTCACTCCCAGTTGGCGTATGCCCCTCTGCAGTCAACGCAAGCGAAAAGCCAATTTGAGTGAAGTCTGGTCAGCCTACCCATTGAGGTGTTGAATAGCCATGAGGGCGTCCTCGTAGTTCTTCATCTTCACAAAACCGAAGCCACGACAACGGGAGGAGGCGTGTTCGCGCACCACGGTGACAGAACGAACCGCGCCGAAGGGGCCAAATAGACGCCACAGTGTGGCCTCCTCCGTCTCCGGAGCGAGGTTGTACACGAACAGGCACCAGGAGTTTGGCGGAGAGGGCGCATGACGCATCAGGGAGGCGACCCCGCAGTGTGGTGAGTGGACGCTACCGAGGCCACCGAGACTGCCATGGTGGTGGTGGTGATGGTGGTGGGTGGCGGGGAGGAGGGGCTGTGGGTGCCCCGTTGCCGCCGCCGCGGCAGCAGCTGCTGCAGCCGCCATGACAGCGGCCGAGGGGGCCGGGGCACCAGCGCGTGTAAAGGAGAGGGCCGCTGCACACGCCGCGAGATCAGGTGCCCCTCGACCCGGCAGAGCTCCACCAGGTGACATTGGATACCTGGGTATTAACGGGGAGTGAAAAAAACTAGCGTAGTGGGGAACACAAAAATAAGGGTTACATGAAATTTGTTGGCATTTTTGGGAACATAGTAATTCACTTTGACCCAACTGTAAAAAACTCGGTGTCTCGGTGGGATTCGGACCCACGACAGCAAGAGGAGGTTTTAGTACAGCCAACGCTCGAGGAGTTCGAGTCCCACCGAGGCACGGAGTTTTCACGGTCGAGTCAAAGTGAATCATTTGATATCTGCCAAAACACCTCTGAATTACGTGAGCCTGGTAGTCATCTGGTGGATTCTAGATGTATTACTTAGGAAATCCTGTTTGGACAGTCAGCTTACTGTATCAGATTTGGTGCATTCCAGACGTTGCAGTAGGTTGGGCGGGTAAACTTGACCCAAATGTGATTAAACCCGCGTCGTCCGGTGGGGCCTCGTAGCTCAGATGGTTAGAGCATTGGCTGTACTAATACCTCCACTTGCTGTCGTGGGTTCGAATCCCACCGAGGCATCGAGTTTTTCGCAGTTGGGTTAAAGTGAATTATTTGAAATCTGCCAAAACCCCTCTGTACATAATCATTGTTTCCTTTCAAACTTTGTACCTGACTCAAGAAGCTACATCTGTCGTAAAAACCGTAATAGATAAAAAAAGGAATAGACTGCATAAATGTTCCTCTTCTACTGACGGTTGGAGCAAAATATGCCGATATAAAGGCTTCTGGTGAACAAGTGAAACAGCAGGACACGAAATTGACAAAATCAGCTATACTGCTGTAAATTGAGGAAAATGTTTTTCTCTGTTGATTTTCGAACCGCACCATTCAACAAAGTTTTCCTTTAAGTCCACAAGCCACTTGGTTCTCTAGGAAATTCCAGCAGTGTCCAAATACCTTGCTGTTTTTAATCTTTGATTACTAGTGGTTAAACAGTGGAGGCGAAAAATCTGCGAGAACCGGCAATAGAATTTAGCCATGAGCTCTTGTTAGAAGAGTATTTGTTTGTAGTTCTATTTTGTCTGGAAATCAAATTACCTGTAATTACTTTACTGGCACTGAATAAAAAAGCTGTTGCCCGAAAAGGGCTTGTGGACTTTGCTGTCTGCAATGACTGCACACATCCTTGACTGTTGTCAACAAACTTGACTGATGGCGCAGCTTTGTAGGCACCTTTGATAAACCGCCAATTGTGGCATTGCGAACGATTCACATATCCCAACGCATACTCTTCTCAAAGGTGGCAAATGCAGGAGTTTGATTTGTCCTCAGTTGACAGATATACGGCCCTTCAACAAAATTCTCGGGTAATAAGAGCGTGTGTTTATTTCATTTTGGTAACAGTTAAAAAAGGCCTTCACAATCCTGAATGATCATTTTCTTTATGATGCCTCTGTGAAGCGCTGGTGTGTTAGGTTGGATGATATTTTTTGAGCGCGTCCAAAACATTTCGCATTTGTGTTCTACAACACACTGCAGTTTTTGATAATCACCAACCTGTCAGCTAGCAATAGTTTGTCAGTGAGCTGGTCGGAATTTTTCAGCGAGAAGTTACTTGGCCGAACGGTGAATGAAGCCCAGCTCTGTGGGTGGGCTAACGAAATTTTTGGTATGAGACCTCTCGTAAACATGATGTCAGAAACATTCCGTCCCAGGCCTAGTCGACGCGGTCACACTGACGTTCTGTTTTTCAAAACCGGTAATTTTCGTCAACACCGTAGTCGTGGTCCTGGATTCTTGTTTGCAGTTAGTAGGTGATCTAGAAAATAACCCGTCTTAACATTTTCGTGAGAGCGTTCTTCTTTATTAAGAGTACCTAATGTCTCTTCAATGGCCAATAAAACTTTGTTCGGGCCCATAAACAAAACGCAATTTTTTTTCTCAAATTTGGTCTATTTGTTTGAGCTGGAAGATAAAGTTAGAAAGGAGTTCGAGGAAGTAAAATTACTCCTAATTCAACTGATATACCATGTAAATTTCGGTTTCAGAGCATGCAGTTGGCTGTTTACACAGTTCGGCATCAAATTTAATACACTCAAAAGGTTTCCGCAAGCTACGAATATGGAGTGCAGAACCGTGGGTACAATTAGCAGATAACCTTATACATGATCGGTTTCAAGGTGCGTAAATACTCTATTGACACCCACAACACTAATTACCTCGATGGTATGCCAGACTTTTACATTGGTCGCATATCAGTTTGCTACTTATTCAGCAAGAAAAGTCGAAAGTTTCCATTTATCTATCGTGCTCACCAAACGTTAAGCGAATAAGTGGCATAGGTAAACGCCAAACTTTAAAGCCCTCTTCGATGTAGCAAGATGAGCTTTTACTCCCAAATGTACACCGAAGTCAGATGGGACGCCGATCGCGTTAAAAATATCCTTTGGATGAAGACTGACAATATAAAATTGCCCAGCACACCGCGGGAGAGCGTGTGCTTTCTTACGATTCATGGTTCTTACTAAAGTGGGCTGTGATGAAGTACTCAAAAATCGTAGTTAGGGCATCGTTTACCAGGGGGCTTAAGCCACGCTGATGTTTAGAGTAAATTTCTGCAGTCAACCAGTTAACATGCTCAGAGTTGATAGAGCACTTCCAGGGGATTTAAGCATGATTTAAGCGTCTCCTGGAATCAAACAGTATATTTTCAGTGGTTGTGTTGTTGTTGTTATTTGCAGCCGATAGCGCGGCGTCTTTGTTCAACGTCCCTCTGCGTCAAGGTCGTTCACAGTCCCCGCGTGCGGTTCCAGACACGCTGACCTCACAGTCCGGCCGACTGCAGCATGTTAACACACGCGCGAAATCAGGTGGTCGCAATCATCCCTGTCCCACGTAAACATGCCACCTCTCGGCTAATGCAGAACACCTCATTCGGACACAAGGACACTTGAATCCGCACCGCCGCATTCTCTCTTAGAGACGACTGAACATTGTTAACAAGCCTCCCGGGCGCGGCAGTGGGTACTGCTGCCTGAAACAACAAATAGAGGGCTTTGTGCACAATAAAACCCCTGGTTCTGGTGTCTTCTGCCTTCTCCTACTTATCTGGATTTGATTTTGGTGTTCCCAGTACACTCATTCCTTCGACGCAACATGTTTACTTCGGAGGTCTGTTCACTGGTAGTATATAAGGTAGCATAAACTGCAAGAAACGGTCCCCGCGGGCTAACTCATGAAATGTCAACCGAACTTCTGAGATGCGTTTTCGTTTCGAGAAGATTAATTAAGTAGAGTTGAAGAACTCATCATTAAGCAGCATAATTCTATAATGATTCAGCTACCCCACGATGCTGGCTTTCGAATGAACTTCTTTTTGGCAGCCTGCAAAAGCTATACTCTGTAAAAAAATGACTACTTGTATAGCATGCGTTTTTCTAATTGATTTTCGAAGTCCTTAAAACACCAATTACATTTTATGCAAAAAATGCATAACAATATTCCTTCCTTTATTCATTCGGTAGAAAATTACGTCTTCGTCCAATTTTGTACTCGAAGGAAGGGTATAATTTGGTTTTAAAAAGTTTATAATTGTGAGACTTTCTAATAAGTTAAATGGCCGTTCATAAAACGTCATGTCTCTGCATTTACCAATATGGCTCGTATAACATGGCCCAAATCTCCTGCTGGATTATATGAACCCCACATGCTGTCCACTTAATACCGTAGAGAAACGTACGGTTTTCCGTACGCGGAAGACATATGGGTTGTAGTTTGGAAAACTTGAATCCAAATGTGTGACGGCAGAGCAGTTTCAAAATTATTCGGGGATCGGAAAACTTTACTGAAACCGAATTATATCCCTCCTTCAAGTATAAAATTAGAAGAAGACGTAATTATCTACCGAATAAGTAAAGGAATGAATACTTTTATGCATGTTTTCTATGAAATATAATTGAATATTTAGGGGCATCGAAAATCAATGAGAAAAACGCATGTTAATTAAGTAGTCATTTTTTACAGAGCATAGCTTTTGCATGCTGCCGGAATGAATTTCGTTTGAAAGCCGGCATCCAGAGGTAACTTATTTATTATAGAATTATGTTGCATGATGATGACTTCTCCAACTCTCCAGTATTAATCTTTTGAAAACGGGAACGCATTTACGAATTTCAGGTTGACATTTCATGAGTTAGCCCACCTACTGTTCCTTGGACCAGGAGGAGAGCCAGATCAAGGCACGACACCCCTTATTCGGGCTGGGCGTCCACAACAAATACCAAACCTGAGGGCTGTGATGGTGAGATTAGGCACAGGTTCACGCCGCGCTGTCCACCTGAACCTAGTTCCCGAATCAGATGACTAACCGGTTAAGGAAAGTGGATCAGTGCTTGGCATAGGGAAGAGAGAGAGAGAGGATGAGATCGACTGGGTGGACTACGTCCTCACGGCAGTTCAGCACATATTCCTCACTATAGCCAATCTAACGCGCTTTTAGACTATCCTGATGCGCCAAAAGTCGTAGCTTGGAAAGCTGCCAAAGGGGGGGGGGGATGATAGCTCGACCCTCCTTTCAGAACTGAGAGTCAGGCTGCAGTGGCTCCTTTTTAATGTGGCTCCTACGACACACCCCTCCGATCAGGACTCGAGTCCTCCCCCTTTCTACTGTTACGTGAAAACCAAGCCCAGCGTTTGAGGACGAGGCGTGTGCGTGGCACGCGCAGAGGAGCTGTTTGATTTTGTCTGTTACTGCGTTTGATCCCTCCTTCGGTTTTCTTGGCTCTGTCTTGACGTCGGGCTTATGCGCGGGAGGGAGGAGAGGGCGCGGTGGATGCTGCGCAAATCTTCTATCACTATAAACCAATTCGCGCGCAAATCATCGTTTCTGTGCGCGTCTCGCTATGGGAAATACGGCAGCTATTGTCGTTCACGAAGCTCGAGGTGTCAGGTAGTTAGCAACAAAACCGTAATCTTTTAAAAAAACCTTTTTTTCATAAGTTATATGACGACAGCCCCAGGGTTGACAACCTGCAATTCATCACAAGACTTCGTTTAGTGACGAAGCAGTTATTAAGACGCTACGTAACTAACTATACCGACGTTTCCACTAGTCATTATTTAGCTCTATCCAAAGCCCAACATGAATCCGGTTACTTGTTTTGAATTTAAATTAATTTGCCACATATCCTCTGTCAGAACCGAGGACTTTGTGTTTTTTCCGAATGCCTGACAATTATTTACAGAATCTAAATCCACTGAAAAAATCGCATTTCTGCAAAAGTTCGATAATGCCCCTAGTTCTACGAATGGTTGTATCGGTAGGACTTACTTCTTCCCTTGGAAGTCCAGGATCGATGGATTCGTGATTTCCCACAAAGGACTCCGTTTCCTTGGGAACCAGTTATTAAGATGCTATACAAATTAGTTTACTGAGGTCCCCGCTGTTCTTCAATTAGCTTTATTCAAAACCCAACCTGCATCAAGTTGCGTATTTTGAATCCAAAGTACTTTTTTCATGCGTCGTCTGTCAGAACCGGGCTTTTTATGTTTTTTTCCAAATGTCTGTTATTGTCAATTAATATTCGCTATACTGACAAGATATCATGGGGGAGGTTCTTATTGCAGCGAAGTATATGTGGGGTTCGAATAAAATCAAGACAACTTATAAGTTTACGACAACTTTTTTGGACTTTTCGCCCAGCTCTCATCGTAACGTGGGCGTTAATACTTGCATTTATTGCTGTATGAGTCAACAGCAAGTGTGGACTTCCAGTGCCCGGACGGATTAATTGCTTAAAACACTCAGTACGTTGAAGTTTTTACTATGACATTTATTCCACGAGCCTAAATTCACCGACAGAAATCGCAAATGTGTCAAGGCTCGATAATGCCCCAACCCTTAAAAATGGTTATTTCGTTAGGATTTAATTTTTTATCTAATATTGTCATTGAAATTAAAGTGCGAGAAAATCTTTCCACAGGATTACAAATTGTCATGAATTTAAAATACAATAACTTGGCTTTTCAGGCTGAAAATGCGAGGGGTCCCGAGTCACATATGCCCTTCCGGCCTCCTGTTTATCAAGCAGTGAACATCAAGAGATATCGACAGATATCTTTTAGTGTGCAAAAGTGGGTTTGAATTACCGCTGCAACCGAATACATCGAGAACATTCCACCGGAGAGCGTTCTCGTTCGCGAAGTTTATGATATATTCGGCTTACAAACAATTCGCTGATTTTCGTTAACAATTTGCGAAAGTTCTTAGCTTATTTGATGTTTGTAGCACGGGCCAACCATGTCTTGTAACTTAAGTATTGAACGCAATTGCAACATTCTAACAATCCCGGCAGCAAAACGGGCCTGTGGCTCACTGGTAGGGTGTTCGGCTCAGTTATCGAAGATCCGCTTTCGGACCTCAGGTTATCTAAATCCAGGGCTGGGTATGGCTAACTGATTAAGACGATTAAGTCAGAAATAGCTACTTTGGTCGCCCGGGGGGCTTGTATAAAACGCGTCTCGGTAGCATATCATCGTCGAGATACCTGTGCAGAAACCGGATCTGCGCATACGCGGAGGCCTCTCGAAGGGTGAAAGTCTCCCATCGCCCGGCTGATTGGAGAGCACCGCGCCCAACTACATTGCCAATAGAAGCGAAGATACGAGTCCCAGGAGGCAGTCGTGAAGACAGAGACACGATAGCTGGGACTAGAGCCTCAATCGCCTGACGTTTCGGGTTCCTGTTCAAACCCATCATCAGAGACAATAGCAGATACGGACTCATCGATCGTGTCTCCTTCATCGCATTTGTTACATATTGAGCAATCAATCTATGAATATTTAGCAATCTCTGCAGGACAACGGCCTCTGACTCACTGGTGGAGCGTTCGACTCAGTTATCAAAGATCAGAGGTTCGGATCCCACACTATGTGAGGAAGTTTCCAAAACATCAGTACGCATACAGTTTGGTCCATAAACCCGCAACTATACGTTTATTAATATATGTTCTCATTGAAACCTATCAAAATGTACCAGGTTTGATTTTGCGAAAAATACCTATTCCGTAGCCCTCAAGACTATTTCCTTGAGGAGACTCAGCCTGACATATAAGCACGTAATGCAAGGAAGGTCCTCTTATTTCCTTCTTTGACAAAAGCGTGCACTGATTCCCATTGGTCTTGTGACGCCTTTACTAACGCAATCTCATTTTACAGCCGATCTCAGCCTCTGTGAAATGAACATGCAAAACCACGCCTTCGTACAATGAGAATACTCGTTTCTAAAAGGCTCGTTGCTATATAAGAGCCTTAAGCACACGCAGAACTCTCAGTCTGACTGCACATACTACTGCTGCTACTACGCAAATCACACAGTTTGACATTATTTTACAAGCGCTAGCCGACAGTTTGACCGTCCACTGTGTGTTTCACAGCAAAATGGGGCAGTCACGGTGACTTGCGCGTTAATTAGTTCCTAGGGAATGTAGACTTTCACAGCATCTACCGCATTCTATCCTCCCCCTCCTCCTCCTCCTCCTCCTCCTCTTCTGCCTTAACTTGGTGTTAAGACATAATCAAAAAGATCGGAGGCGCGAGAGAGCGCAGTTGGATGACGCGGCCGAGCCTGAGATCTAGGCGCGCCAGCACATCCCTCTGGCCTACAACAAACACCCGACCAGGATTTTAACCAAAAATGAAAATACTGAGTTCTAAAAGACTCGTTACTATATACAGTTGATGTGCTAACTCATGAAATGTCAACCAAAATTTCGTAATGCCTTCTCGTTTCGAAAATAT